TACCCCCGTGCATGAGCCCCCAGGACCCACACGCACCTTCTCTGAGTCAGAGAAGAGGCCTCTCCACGTCCGTGACAGCTTCGTGGAGGTGTCTCCTGCCTGCCAAAGACCCCGTGTGCGCCTGGGCTCCGAGATCCAGGACTCGGTGGTGTGACGGGGATGGGAGCCAAGCCCTCTCTCACCACTGCCTCTGCTCTGCTGAGCCTCACTGGACCGTGCACCACTGCCAGGGTCCATGTTGTCTGTGTGTGCATGCCCAGAGCCTGCACCCACCCTCTGCGGCAGCACCCACCAGCCAGGGGGGCCTAGAGCCCTCCCTGGGCATCACCTCGGTACTTGTGGGTGTGAGGGGTGCCTCACACCCTCCAGGGTCCTGCAGGGCGGCTCCAGCCCCGCGCCCCTGCTGCAGGGCCAGACACGGTTCCTGGCTCAGGCTGCTGGTGCGGGCTCTGCCAGGCCCTGACCCCCTCTATGCAGAGGGCAGGAGGGGGCGGCCGCAGACCCCTCGTGCCCCCACTCACTGTGACGTCCCGCTGGGACCAGGGCCACGCGCGTGGCTGGGCAGCGCCAGCCCCGCGGCATGTGCTGTGTGTCTGTGCTTGGTTCGTTTTTGATATGTGGAAAATGTGAATTGTGTCCGGGGAAGGGGAGCTGGAAGAGCTTCCCCTGCATTGGGTGGGCAGGGATGCCCCCGCGGCCCCGCGTGCGTGTGCGGAAACGTCTCTTGTTTTTATATAAAGTCCTTCAGACACGTGTGTGCGGCAGGGCTCGGTGCCTTCCTCGGCCAGAACCGTCCCTGTTGGCCCCGGGGAGCAGCCACGTCTGGCTCTCACTGCAGCAGAGCGAGATCTGCCCATGGACTGCCCACAGTCCCCAGAGGACTGTGCTGCCCATCAGCTCTGTGGAGTCCCCTCCTCGTGTGCTTGGCTGGGCACTGGGCCAGGGCATGCGGGCCCTGCAGGGACACTGGCTGTGTCCCTGTGACCTACTGGCAGGATGTCACTCGGGCAGCCCTGGGCTGTGCTGGGGCCGTGCCTGGAGGCCTGTGCCGTGGCAGTCTGGTGCAGGGGGGCCCTTGGTGGGGGAGCACAGCCATGGAGTGATGCCATCCTGGCACCATGAGGAACAGGAGAAGGCAGAGGTGACCAGGAGTAAGAAAAGTGGGTGCCTGGGGCTGGGAGGAGGGCAGCCCCCTCCCCAGGACCACAGTGTTGTGCTGCATGTGGGACCCACTGCCCGCACAGGGAGCATCAGGCCCTTGTGCCCATCCCACCCTGCTGTGGGCTGACCCTGGACACTTTGCCAGCAGGACCTGACTCTGTGGTGGCTGAGGGCGAGGCCTGGGCTTGCAGCCAGTGCTGCTTTTGAGCCCTCACACAACTGGGAAGCACCAGCAGTGCCAGCACAGGGCTGGGGGAAGCGGTGAGCTCCGCAGAGATGGCGTGTCCAGGCAGGATTCCCCCGAGGGACCAGCACTGCCTTGCTCCCAGCTGGACCCATGCACTGCACTTCCTGCACAGCCTGTTCTGGGACATCAAAAAAGCCACTGGAGGCGTTGGCTGGTGAGCTGCCAACACACAGCCCCGGGGCTGTAGGGGCACAGGCCTCGGCGGGCAGATACTGTCAGCACCGCGGGGCAGCGAGCTGGAAGGGCTGGCAGCGCCAGGAGCAGCAGCCACTGTGTGAGAAACAGCCACGCCAGAGCCCTGAGAGCCAGCACGGGCTCTGCGGGGCCAGCTGGACCCCAGGCCCACCCCAGTCCTGGCAGGGCTGCAGGCCAGGGCAGGGAGGATCCTGAACAAGGACAAAGGATCCTGGACAAGCACAGGGGACCCTGCTGCTGCTGCCCGCAGTGACAGTGCCACTCGCTGCCCAGGGCTCCCCTTAGTGCCCCCGGCCTGAGCGCTGGGCTCTTTGTGCTGCCCAGAAGGATCCCAGCGTGGCGGAGGGAGGGCAGGAGGTGGCCCATGGAAAGGCTGTGGTGGAGAGGACGTGGAACCCATCCCCTGGAGTGGCGGCTGGCGCGCAGGCAGAGAGGCCTGGCAGGAGCCCATGTCCCCAACACCCTGTGGCACCCGTCCCACAGCCGGACAAAGGCAGCAAAGAGCAAGGGTGAAACCAGAGCCCTTTAATTGTGTCCTCACAGGGACTGGGGGAGGAAGAAGCCAGGGCAGCAGAGCAGCTGCTGTGCTGGAGCCAGAAGAGAGCAAAGACAGAAAGGGAGGAGGAGGAGTGCAGGCTCTGAGCACAGCCGTGGGACAGCTCTGCTGTGGGTGGCACCTGTACAGTGACTCTTGGGTGACTGCTCAGAGAAAGCACCCCCATTTGGGTCATTGCTTGTGAAACATGATCCACTTTTTGGTTATTGCTCAGAGGATCCACGTTCAGTTATTGCTCAGAGAAATGGATCCAAGTGGCAGCAGGCAGGCTCCCAGAAATACAGGAGAGGCAGGAAGAGGCTGGCAGGGGAGGCAGCTGCCTGCCTGCTGCTGGAAGGCACAAGGTAGGAATTGGTCCTGAGGGCAGAGAGGGGCTGTGCTGGTGCAGAGTGGCCCCAGGCAGGAGCAGCTCTTCCTCCCCCAGGGGCACAGCTGCCCTTGGAATGCATAAGGATTCAAATTCTAGTGCTAGGACAGCAGGGGGGCTGCAGGAGAGGCAGATTCCTGGGACCCCTGCTGCCAAGCAGGCACCTGAGAGGGGAGCAGGAGGGTTCCTGCCCAAGGCACTGCAGCACAGCTGGCCATTGAGGGGCCGGGCCTGTGCTCCCTGAAAGAGGAAATGGCTGAGCCCACAAAGAGCTGCAGGAGCTGGAGGAGTGCAGGAGGAGCTGGAGGAGTGCTGCTGGACAGCCACGGGGCTCACAGGACTATCTTGAAGGAGCTGCAAAAGATATGACAGGACCTGCACCAGCTTGCTAGGTCACACAAAGGGTTTACAAGCACCCAGCGCTGCAGGGAGCAGAATCCCTGTGCGGGAATCCTCTGCAGAGCCAGCAGGGCATGCAGAGCCCTCTGCCATTACGGCTGCTTGGCACGGGGCAGCCCTGCCCTCCTGCCACCACAGCTCTGCCCCAGTGCCAGCTGAGCGGTCAGGGTGAGCAGCCCCCAGGCCGGCTCTGGAGCCCACCGCACCTGGCAAAGTCCGGGGAGCGCGAGACCACGTGCTGGAACTCGGAGAGGTTGATGGTGCCGTCCTTGTCGATGTCGGACTCCTCCAGGATCTGAGGGGAAGGTGAGACTGAGCTCTGTGCCTGGGGCCGTGCAGCGCCCCTGCCCTGGCCAGCGGGCCTCACATTTTGGATGAGCTGCTCCATCTCTGCGCTGCTCAGCCGGGACTCCTCGCCTTGCCCCGTCAGGCAGTTCACCAGCTGCTCCAGGTCCTTCCTGTCCAGAGTGCCATCGTTATCAAAGTCTGTGGGGACAGACAAGGTAGGTTTTGGCAGGGCCACAGTGACCCCAGAGAGCCACAGCACCGGCACTGCACCACTCCATGCACCTGAGCATGCCAAACCAGCTGTGTCCACAGGGAGTTCCTAAAGCCACCATCCCCGTGGGTGCTCCAAGGGCACTGCCAGCACTCCTGAACATCAATTCATCACCCTGCTCCCGCTTCCTCAAGGTGCAGGGATCCCAGAACACAGCGCCTGTCCTCAGCCTTACCAAAGATGCGGAAGGCGTAGTGGGATTTGATGTCAGAGGTGGCAGAATCGCTGAAGACACTCAGCATATCAAGGAAGTCTTCAAAGGACATGCTGTCATCCCCGGCCTCTGAGGTTGAGAACACGTGGCAGATGCGGTGCTGGAAGGGGTTTGCCTGTAGACACGGGAATGGCTCAGGCAGGGCTGGGCCGAGCTGGCTCCATCAGGCACACCTGGGCTGTGGCTGCTGCTCCAGCAGGTGAGCAGGTGCCCGCTCTGCCACTGCTCCATCACCCACAGCACGGCCAGACCCGGCCTGTGCGCCTCCCGGGAGGCAGCCCGCGCAGCAGGGTCCCTTGTGGCACAGCAGGAACCCCAGGATCCTGCACAGCAGGGATCCTTGGGCTCCTCCACGGCACAGCAGGACCTGGGATCATCAGCTCCTCGGAGAGGACAAGGAAGCTCTTTGCTGGCACAGCAGAGCACAGAGCACCGGCACAGCGGGGCCGTGTCCCGTGCCTGCCCGGCACCATACCCGCAGCTCAGGCAGCGTCAGGATCTGGCTCTTGGGAACGCGCGCGGAGCAGGCGTTCTCCCTCTCCTCCTTTGGCAGCAGCTCACTGAACCTCTTGTAGGCACTTTAAGAGGCAAGAAAGAGAGCGGCTCTGTGCTGCAGCGGGGTGGCAGCAGCCCGTCTGGCACCCAGGGCGGGGTGGCCCGTTCCCACAGCTCCTGCCAGCTCTGCCGGGCCGGGCCGGGCCGGGCTCCCACCGCTGCTCCCGGGGCACGGAGCGCAGCCGGTCCGGCTGCTGCCCCGGGGCCTGCGGAGGGTCACCGCGGCTCGGCCGGCCCCAGCCCCACCCGCTGCTCAGGGCGGCACCGGCAGCGCCCGCGGACCTTGGCCCGTCACAGCCGGCCCGTAGGGAGTGCCACCGGCACCTCCCGGCTCGGCTCAGCTGGGCGGAACCGGAGCCCCGGGGCAGAGCGGAGCTCTCCGCGCCCCGCGGGACCGGGTGGCACGGGGGGCCCACTGCCGGTACTGCGGTACTTACAGCAAGATCTCCTGCTTGCTCAGGAACGTCAGCTCCTGCGGGGACAGCCCGGGTCAGCAGCGGGGCCGAGCCCGAGCCAGGGCACCCGGCCAGGGGCTCCTGGCCCCCGGGCACCCTCGGGGCCGCGCCGCCCTGCCGTGCCGCACTGCAGCCGGCTGGGCCCGGTGCCGGTACCTGGTACTCGCCCAGCAGGTCCCGCGGGATCAGGCTGGCCGAGCCGCCCATGGCGCCGCTTCCCTTCCCCGCGCTCGCCCCGCCCGACACCGCCCGCCCCGGGCGGGGCGAGCGCGCACGCACGGCCGGCCCCGCCCGCCCGCGGCTCCGGGACCGGGCACCGCGGGCATGGCGGCCGCGGCGGGAGAGGAGCCGGGCGAACCCGGCCCCGAGGAGTTCGTGTACAGCGAGGAGGACTTCGTGCTGCAGGCGGCCGGCTGGGACGACCCGGACTCCGCGCCCTCCCGGTTCGACCGGGTGCTGCTGGCGGGCTGGAACGACCGTATGGAGCGGGGACTGTTCCGGTACCGGCTGGGGCCGCTGCCCACCCGCGTCCTGCCCGGCTCCGTGCGGCTCGTGGCGCAGCTGAACGAGCAGCGCAGCGCGGAGCGCCGCCCGCCACAGCCCGTCCGCAGCCTGCGCGACCCCTTCGACCCCGGCGCCTTCAACTTCACGCGGCTGCGGCCCGCCGAGCTGCTGCTCCGCCTGCGCCGCACCGGCGGCCCGGGGCCGCCGCCGGAGCCGCTGCTGGTGGCCATCAACGCCAGCCCGCTGGAGCGGGGCCACGTGCTGCTGCTGCCCGAGCCGGCGCGGCGGCTGCCGCAGCTGCTGACGGCCGCGGCGCTGCGCGGGGCGCTGGAGGCCGCGCTGCTCAGCGCCCACCCCGGCTTCCGCGTGGGCTTCAACGGGCTGGGCGGCGGCGCCTCGGTGAACCACCTGCACCTGCACGGGCTCTACCTGGGCCGCCCGCTGCCGCTGGAGGAGGCGCCGGCCGAGCCGCTGGGGCCGCGCCTGGCGCTGCTCCGCGCCCGGCCGCGGGCTGCGGGTGCTGCTGTGGGCGCGCCGGCCGCTCTTCGGCCCCAAGGCGGGGCAGCCCTTCGCCGTGGCCCTGTGCGAGCTGGCGGGGCTGCTGCCGCTGCCCGCCGAGCCGCTCTACCGGGACATCACCGAGGCGCAGGCCCTGAGCGCCATCCGCCAGCACCTGCTGCCCGAGCCCGAGCTGCTGCACCTGGGCGGGGAGCTGGCGCGGCTGCTGGAGCACTGAGAGCTGGATCGGCGGCATGGAGAGCTGAGCCGGTGGCACGGAGAGCTGAGCCCGAGCTGCTGCACCTGGGCGGGGAGCTGGCGCGGCTGCTGGAGCGCTGAGCCGGTGGCACAGAGAGCTGGACCGGCGGCACGGACAGCTGAGCCGGTGTCACGGACAGCGGCCGGAGGCTCAGCCGGTGTCACGGACAGCGGCCGGAGGCTCAGCCGGTGTCACGGACAGCGGCCGGGCCGCTGCAGCGCTGACGGCCCGGGGCCGGCAGGGGGCGCTGCTGCTGGAGGACACGGCCGCGGCAGTCACGTGGCCGCGCGGGCCGCTCCGCCCGCGTGCCCGCGGCTCCATGGTGCGGTCGCCATGGGAACGCGGCGCAGCGGGGAGCGGTGCGATGGCGGCGGCGGGCGGCGCCGACGGGGGCGGCATGGGCCCGGGCCCGTCGCCGGGATCCCCTCCGGGCGAGGAGGCGGCCATCGCCGCCTCCCCCCCGGCCGCTCCCCGCGGCGCCTCCGTGCCTCACTCGCGCTCGGGCCCGGCCCGGCCCAGCCCCGGCCCCGCTGCTCCCCGCGGCACAGTGCCCAGCCGGTGCCCGGCGCTCCCCAGGCCCCGGGAGCCGGTCCCGCTGGCCCAAAATAAACGGTGTTCCCTGAACTGCCCAAAGATCCCCTGTGTGACACACCCGGGCACGGCTCCGTGCCCAGACCAGCCTGCCCGTCCCCCCGGGGCTGCAGCGCACCGGGGCGGGCTCGGTCAGACTCCCGCTGTGCTCTGTGTGTGAGGGCCACCGGGCTGTGTCCCCACCGTGTCCCCTGCCCGGTGCCTCGCTGAGCTGCTGTCATCTCGTCTCTATTCCAGTGTCCCCTCCATCAACCTGAGCGGCTGCAAGTACGAGAGTGGTAAGTCAGGGGTCCTGCCCAGCCAGGAGCGGTGCTGGCACCCAGTTCCCGCTGGTTTATTCACTGCTGCCAGCGCCCCCGTGTCAGTGGGGAGTTTGTCACACTTTGGACTGAGATTTCTCCCGATTTAAAATGTGCAACAGCAGAGCGAGCCCTCAACACCCCCACACTTGTGTTTGCCAGCTGTGTGCTGAAATGGGCAAGAAGGGTTCCATCAGGTGCAAGGAGCACCTGGCTTGCAGACAGGACCTGAGGGCTGTGTAAGGTGAAGCTGGTGTGAGCAGCAGGATCTGTACCTGCAGCCTCTCCCTGTGCTGTTCATCCCCGGTCACTCCAGGCAGCTGGCCCACTCTCCTTCCACAAGCTGGATCTTGAAAGAACTCCTGGCCCTGAGGGGTGTTATTAATCTACTTTGCTGAGGGATCTTGGCATGGATCCCCATCAGCCCTGCCAAATTCACGCTTGGCACTAGCATGAACCATCCCAGCAGAGACCTTTTTCTGCAGAGCTGTGTTCTGCTGCTGAAAGGCCTTTGCTTTGGGAGATTAAATGCACACCTTCACAACACTTGTATCTGCCTGTGAGGTGTAAGACCCATGGGAAGTTCAGTCCCGCTGCTGAGGGGCCCTGGCACCTCAAGACAGGTGGGATTAGAGGGTTAAGAGCTCCCAGAACACCTGCAGCCAGAGGCCTGGGGGGTTGGCCAGATAAATCTGGCGTTCCTGCCACCTTCCCAGGGGCCATGCCAGACCTTACACCTCTGAGGGGAAGTGCAGCCCGGAGAGCTGCATCCCCCACCCCGTGTCATGCTGGGGTGCAGCCCCTGTACGTGGCTCCCTTGCCTTGGCACAGTGCGGCGGGCGGCGCAGCTCTGCGGGCTCAGGGAGGCGGCCGAGAACGAGGAGTGGACGGTGTACTGGACAGACAGCACGGTCACTCTGGAGCGCCTGATGGAAATGAAGCGCTTCCAGGTAAACAGAACGGCTGCCCAGCAGGAAGGGCTCGGCAAGGAGGGCGACACGGGGCTGGCTGTGGAACAGCATGTGGCAGAGTGAAACCCGAGCGCCCAAAGCAGTGCCGTGTGCCGTCTGTGCCTCGGCTCCAGGGCGCAGGGTCAGGTGCCTTTGCTTGTGCCATGGCTGATGCCATCAGCAGCTTCCAGCAGCTATGGTGGGAGCAGCAGCGTTCCAGCCCTGTCATGTGCTGTGGAATAAAGAGCTCTATGCTGCTCCAGGGCTAAGATGGAATAGGCAGATAAATCAGTAGTGAAGCCCAGATAAGGCAGCTGTAGCAAGTGTCACCCCCCAGCAGTAGCTCAAGGCAGCCACAGGCCTGGCTTCCCTCTCACTGCCGGTTCTCCATGCCCAGGCTCTCCTCGGGGCTGGGAGAATCCATCCCCGCAGGGCTCCACTGATGTGGGTTTTTCTGCACCACTTTCAGAAAATCAACCACTTCCCAGGCATGATCGAGCTGTGCCGCAAGGACCTGCTGGCTCGCAACCTGAACCGCATGCTCCGGCTCTTCCCCAAGGAGTACAACATCTTCCCCCGCACGTGGTGCCTGCCAGCCGAGTGAGTGGCTGCGACAGGGACGGGGTGGCACGGCCGGGGGAGGCTGCTGGCCTGCTCCTTCCAGGCACCAGAGCCCAAACCCTCACTTGCTTTGAGCTCTTCCGCAAACCTCCCAGCAGAGGCGGAGATGTGTGCAGGGAAAAGGAGGGATGTGGAGGCTGGGTGGGTCACACAGGGACCAGTCTGTGGCTCCTGCAGATTAGGAATGGGAGTTCACTTCATCCCCTGCAGAAGTTCAGTGTGTGCTGGCCTGCAGTGCCATGGTTTCAGTACCCAGCGTTAGGAGAGAGTTCAGAGGGGTGTTTTTTGCAGCTGGTGATAGTCACCCCTCCCTTGCACAGCTACGGAGATTTCCATGCCTATAGATCCACGAGGAAAGCAAGAACATACATCTGCAAGCCCGACAACAGCTGCCAGGGAAGAGGGATCTTCATAACCCACCACCCAGAGGAGATCAAGCACGGGGAGCGCATGATCTGCCAGCAGTACATCTCCGAGGTACTGGGATGGTCTGGAACATCGGGGCAGGATTCCAGCATGCTCCCGGGTCTGCTGCAGGTGTTGGTGTGGCACAGACAAAGCTTGTCCCTCTGCTGAGAGCACAGGCAGAGGAGCAGTTCCTCACCTCACCCTTGCTCCTGCCTCTTCCCCCCAGCCCTTCCTCATCGATGGCTTCAAGTTTGACATGCGCATCTACGTGCTGGTCACGTCCTGTGACCCACTGAAGATTTTCCTCTACAAGGAGGGCCTGGCCCGGTTTGCCACCATGAGGTACATCGATAACAGCACGAGAAACCTGGTAAAGAGGACGTTTCAAAAACAACTCATGTAGTATCTGTAGGTGTCAGCCCTTAACTTGTCCTGGGGGCATTCCAGGCCTTGAAAAGGCAGGTATTGGGGGCTGCACGAGTCCCAGCTTGATGCTTTCCTGTTCTTCCTCTGTACCCCTTCCTCCTCCTCACAGGAGGTGTTTCAGGAGGGATGGTACATACACCCCAAGGTCCCACATTTGGGCTGTTTACTGGCATTACCACAGAATCATGGAATTGTTTGCTTGGATGGAACCCATGCTGAAAACCTGGTTAACAATGAATTCATATGATTTCTCAGGGTCTCACCCCATCAGGTTGAATCATGGAATTGTTTGCTTGGATGGAACCCATGCTGAAAACCTGGTCAACAATAAATTCATATCTGATTTCTCAGGGTCTCACCCCATCAGGTCTTGAAAACCTGCAGAGTGAAGCCCCCCCTGGTGTCTCTGGGCAGCATGTTCTGCTTCTGGCTCTGATAAGAATGCTCAGTTCCACACCATTCCTACTCTGCCCATGCTTCAGGCAGAAAAGAACCTGGGAGTATCTGGTGGGGCTGTTTCTGCTCTTGCTCGATGGTTCAGAGTGAACAAACATCCCTTCTGGTTCCCTGCCAGGGTGACATCTGCATGCACCTGACCAATTATGCAATCAACAAACACAATGAGAACTTCATCAAGGACGACACGGTGGGCAGCAAGAGGTACTGGCATGTCCGAGCACTGCAGGAGCACTGCCTGGGGACACTGCTTTGCCTCAGCTTTCCTGGGGTGGCACAGCTGAGCCCTGACCACCTCCTGTTCCCACACAGGAAACTGTCCACCGTCAATGCCTGGATGGCAGAGCACAACTATGACACATCAAAGCTCTGGGCAGATATTGATGACATTGTTATAAAGACACTGATTTCAGCTCACCCTGTGCTGAAACACCATTACCAGAGCTGCTTCTCCAACCACACTACTGGCTGTGCCTGCTTTGAAATCCTGGGCTTTGACATTTTGCTGGATAGAAGGCTGAAGCCATGGCTGCTGGAGGTGAGGAAGGAGTGGAGAGCTCAGAGCTGGGGGACTAGGGCAGGGGGTTTGGGATGAACAGGGCTTGTTTGATTCAAAAGGGCCACCTTGCTCACAGAATTAACCAGGCTCTGAAGCCAAACAACCTGCTGTGGGCAGGATCCAAGAGAACCCATTTCCTGCACACCATCTAACAGGGAGTTTCCCAAGCCTTCACACCCCTGTCCTGTGAGCACCCTGAATTTGTGACAGCTGTCCCCTGCCTGCACCCTGTGGGTGGGATCCAGGTGACCTGTGGCACAAGTGGGCACCACACTGCAGGAGAGAGTGCTGTGCGTGGCTTCCTGTCTGTGACAGGGGCAGAGCTTCCGTGGGCAGTGTGGGGCATGGCTGGGGCCAGGGGCTGGGGGCCAGGTTACGTTACCTGCTTGTCTTGGCAGGTGAACCACTCTCCCAGCTTCAACACAGATTCTCAGCTAGACCATGAGGTGAAGGACGCCCTTCTGTGTGACACCTTCAACCTGATCAATGTGCACGCCTGTGACAGAAAGAAGGTGCTGGAGGAAGACAAGCGGCGGGTAAAGGAACGGCTCCTTCAGGCCAACCAGACCCCCTGGGAGTCCAGGTATTGCTGATCCCCCACACTGCTGCAGGCCCAGTGAGCCAAGACAGGGCATGACAGAGCAGGATAACACCGGGGCTGGCTGCTGGAAGCTCCTGGAGCCCATGGCATTGTGCAGCCTGCATCCTGCAAGGAGAGCCAGGGCTCCTCTCTGGGTGCCAGGAGATCTGTGACACCTTGTGCTCTGGGCCCTGACAGCTCTCTCCAAGCTGCACCTGCTGGTCATCTCTTTTGCTGGGGATGGGCAGTGCCAGCATCCTGGGCTGGCAGGGATGCTCACATGAGGAACCGCAGCCCTGCCTCAGGACCTGGGGTGCCTCTCTTTTGCTGGGGATGGGCAGTGCCAGCATCCTGGGCTGGCAGGGAGGCTCCACAGCCCTGCCTCAGGAACTGGGGTGCTCTGGGCATGGCCCCTTCTCCAGGGCAGGGGTCCTTGCCAGGGCTGAGGGTTTCCATTCCTCTGTGTGCCCTATGTGCTTTCACAAGCCCTGTTCAGTGAGCCTGCTGCCTTGCAGGCAGCCCGTGGCTCTCCAGCTGCTGAGTCCTGGGATAATCCCGGAACATGCTGAGCACGTCAGCCCTGCACTCTGCCTGTCCCAGAGCCTCCCTCCACAGCTCCCTGTCCCCCTCCTGCTGCAGGCGCAGGGAGCAGGAGAGCAGCCAGGCTGCCTGGCTGGCACAGGCTGAAACCTACGAGAACGAGCACCTGGGGGGGTTCCGGCGCATCTACCCTGCACCTGGCACAGAGAAGTACGAGCCATTCTTCCAGCAGAGCAGGTCCCTCTTCCAGGAAACAGCAGCATCCAAGGCAAGAGAAGAGTACGCCAGGTATGCTGCTCCTGCAGAAGCCCACTTCTCCCGGGTGGCATGGAGACCACTTGCTCCTGATCCCTGCTGGGGAGCAACTCTGCTGCTTGGCAGGTGTGAGAAAGCGGGGAGGGTGGGAGCGGAAAGGAAGGAGCCTGCACGTGCTGTGGCACCACAGCAAAGTGGCTGCTTTTGGATGGACTCCAGAGAGGCAAGGGCAGTACTCCATTGACTTTTGGACCCTGGAGACACCATTTCCCAAATGTCCCCCTCCCTTTTGTCAAGCACAGCCTAATCCAAGGGCATTTCTCCTTTTAAAAGTCTCTTTACAAGCAACCCATCCCATCTCCTCTCTTGGCACACTTCTGTTATGGGCTATTCATACAGAACTTGGGCCTGCAGTAAATGTCATCAGGTTGAAACTGCCCCACTGTTGCTATTGTGGCTCTGAGCCAGTGAGTGACGGCACTGTTCTGTGGCAGGCAGCAGCTGGAGGAGATGCGCCTGAAAAATGAAAAGCTGGAAGCTGCCAGGAGGAAGAAAACAGAGAGGATGCAGAATAAAAGCACAACTCCTACAACCCACCTTTGCTACAGAAGCACCAAGGCGTGGGACAGAAAGGTACCTCAGTGTCAGCACTGTCCCTGGGCTCTCCAAGCCACTGATGTGGCTCTGGGAGCTGTGCTGAGCCAGTGGTGCACCCATGGAGCAGAAATTCCAGGTGTGACTCCCTGCCTGAACTTGTGTTGGCACTACTTGCAAGCACCAGTGTTGTGCCTTTCCACTTTGGCTCTCCCTGGGATCTCTGTCCCCCACGAGACTGTAACTGTCCCCAGGGCTGGAGCAGCTCGTGGCTTTGTCTCACCTGTGTTATCCCAGCTTCAGCTTTGCTGCAGCTCAGGTGTTTCTCTGCCGAGGTGCAGCGCATGCAGTACAACTCCATGCAGCCCCAGAACATCGTGGAACACGAAGAGAA